GGGGGGGGGGGGGGGCGGCCATTGGCGTGTACATACGAGACGTCAGTTTGATCGCCTTCGACTGTACAGTGTGCGCATGCCTTCCGGTGGACGACCATATGCTGTCGGCGTTCAAGGTCGCCATCGAAGTAGCTTGTCGCCGTTCGCAGTGGTGGCGTCCACGTTTCTTCACGGAGGCGGGATATCACCGTTCCGCATGGCGGTGTTTGCGGAGTTTTGGTAGTTGACGTGGGTTCCGGTGTCGTCGATGGAAGAGGCGTCCAGGATGGTTATTGACGGCGTTGTCAGGGGTCGTGCTTTAACGACAGATGAGAGGACGACTATCGCTGCGACGGTGAATGTCGTCCTCTATCGTTGTCAAGTGAAGAGAACCGCAGGGAAGATCAAAGCAGCTGCTCGCGCGCGACGGAAGGTGACGGCACTGGCGAGCAGCGGTGAAGGCTTGGACCTGGGAGCACTTTCGGACGTCGTCCTCCAGGTGTGCTACGCGTTGGGGTGCGGCGCCTTTCCGAGGGCGACTCCAAGATGGTGGATGAAGCGGTGGACGGGAGGAACATGGGAGGACGTGCACCAAAGCGACGACGCCACCGACGACTACTTCAGAGACAAGCTCCGAATGTCGCCACGTGTCTTCCGCGAAATCGCGAAAACGCTTTGTTCATACCTGCAACGGCATGTGACGTTTTACAGAGTGCCTTTGCAGTCGGATCACATCGTGGCGTACGCTCTTTATAGGTGGGCGACGGGTGAGACCTACGACAGCGGAACGTGCAGCTTCGGCATCGGGAGGGCTTCTGGCATCACGGCGGTCCGAGACGTTACCGCTGCCTTGCTTGCTGCGTACCCGGACAAGATTTCGTGGCCCACTGGCTTGCAGAAGGCGGTCGTGTTGTGCGCGTTTGCAGACAAGGGATTTCCAAATTGCCACGGGTGCATCGACTGCACCCACATCTACGTGGACAAACCCGCCAACGCGAACGGGGAGGACTACTGTGATCGGAAGAGGCGATTCTCTGTGCAAGCGCAGGTTGTCGTCGACATGAATTTGCGTGTGTTGGACGTCTTCGTCGGTTACCCTGGCAGCGTGCATGACATGAGGATGTTACATCTGTCCAGTTTGTGGGAGCGCAGGGAGTCTGGACAACTTTTCACTGACCCGCATGTCATGCTATCGTTCGGTGTCCGAACAAATGGATACTTGCTCGGCGACAACGGCTATCCCCAGTCGGAATGGATTGTCGTCCCGTATGGAGGTCTCGCGTAGCATCCCACGGAGGCACGGTTCGACAACAAGCAAAAGACGGCGAGGGGAGCGGTGGAGAGGGCGTTTGGAAGATTGAAGGGCATGTGGAGGTTATTCCTGCGCACACACAAGTGCAACATGGACACATTGCCGCAACAGTTCATCGGGGTGTGCATCCTCCACAACATACTGATCGACGTAGGCATTCCCTTCGATGACAACCTGTTGTGGGAGGTCGGTCCGGATGGCGTCCGAAGCAGGGTGGATCTGGGCATGCATGCGCCGCTGCGTCCTGTTTGCATGGAGTCGTCGACCGGGGACGCGCTCATTTTGCGGGATGCGTTGGCGGAGAGGATGGGTGCGCAGTGAGGATAGGTGGTTGTGGGAGTGGAGAGTCGAAGACGGTCGTGATGCGGCGAGATATCGAAGCACACTGAAGTGGGGAGGCACCGAAGAGATGATGTGCCAGGAACGATAAGGAGGTACGCCCTCTTGTATCCACTGAAGGTGCTCAGAGAACACGGCACTGAAGCCCTCCCAGTGTGCTGCCGTCCGGAAGTTTGTTTGGTCGTCGTCAAGCACAATGTACTTTCTTCCCCGGGGTTGTTCGGAGCACTCATCCGGCAGGTTGTCGTCTTCTCGTTAGCGTGTAGCAGTTGTGCCGTAGATGGTCGATCCTCACTGCCGTTTTTTGCACGGTATTTCCATTTTGTCGTCATGTATGTAGCAGTGCTGTTTCAGCGGCACAAGTGGTTAACTGAACCTTAGTCGAAGTGAGTGTCTTTCGTTTTCGTGGTAATCGTCGGCGTGCGGAACTCATAGTTGTTGTTCCGCACAGTAGCGGTGAAGACTGAGTTTGGTGGTAGGTTTACTTACGGGAAGTCGTTGGTTGGGCAGTTGAGGGTTTAGCGGGGGGTGAAGGGGTCTACGAAGGACGGTGATTGAGCTGCCATCTACTTTTATTACGAACTGAACTTGTTGGAAACCTTGGAAGGCTTCCCCTTATTCTTGATGATCTTCTTTCGTTGAATGTTGTTGCGATGTGGAATGCAGTCTTCATTTTGCAATGTGTTTTCGTTCAGGATGTTTTTATAAGTTTGTGTCACGTATTTCCGCTCACGCCAGAGCGTGTGTGTCCGTGTGTGTGTGTGTGTGTGTGTGTGTGTGTGTGTGTGTGTGTGTGTGTGATCAGAATGCGTGAATGCACGAAATATCATTCTATTTGTTCCTTTCAAGGTACAGTTCATCCTTCGAATGCACGGTGTCGCCGTCAGCAATGAACACATCATTCCATGGACATTACAAAACCCTTGTCCCATTAACATAACACATCCCCGTGAACACAACATATGCCCAGAACAAAGATGCGAATCCATTGTTTGAATGAAAAAGAAGAACAACGTTGTTTTCCCTTGTCAATTGGAACATGACTTCGAAGCGCGTTAAGACCAATCAGTGTGTACAGAACCGAAGCCTCCGCTTCTGCATAATCCACAACGAATGCAGGAAGAGGACGCAGAGAACGTAAACGGAAAGTGAAGGACGATTACGAAATGATATGCACGGTGGTGACAACGAAACACACAAAGGCGTCTGTCCCTGCAACTGCTGCGCGCCTGCGGATTTCGATGATCGGTCCACAGCGGTTAACTGCCCGCCGTCGTCGCCGACATGGGGATTGTCGATCACTGTGCGCGTCTGACTTCCACACCTCCCTGTAGACAGACCGGAAGACAGGTTCGATTCTTCCCCGTCGAGACCCGGCGCCAGCAGTTCAGTGAAGGACTGGCCGTGCACGCCGCCACTGCCGCCGCACAGCTCCGTCCAAGACCATTCCTGCGTAGAACCACTACCCAACGGAACAGTGTGTGCCCGTCCCTCCCTCTCCTCCTCATCAGATGAGTCAGGGAGGGGTTGCAAATGCGGCAGCAGTGATGAATTACCGACCCCCAACGACAACCTGCAAGCCGGAGAAGAACTCCCAACGGCACGCCTGCTCACAACCTGCTCCCCTCCTCCCCTCCTCCCCTAGGGGATCCCTGTCCACTATCCGTCCTGACGGCCTTCATCGGCGAATTTCGTCTGCGTCGACGCCGCGGCGCGTTCCCGACGAAACACACGTGCAACACTACGACGACGGCCAGTAGGAAGACGGCGAGAAGCAGCAGCGGGAGCTTGCGAAAGATGTCAGCCATGCGACGGACGACGGCAACGGCACTAGACGGAAGAGAACACGGCCGACAACGTAACTGCGACGTCCTGCGCACGGCGGCACGCGCTTGGCGACAAATGGAAGCCGTCGTCTTCTGGACGCGCTGTGCCGCCTCAAATATTCGCATTTGCCGACTGTTGGCCGGTTTACCGCCACGACTGAAGCCCAACCCCAAGTTGCAACGCGGTGTGCACCTTGGGGATGCTACCGGCCCGCTAACGATTACCGTTGGCGTGGACATCGGGCCTCTTGAACGTTGGCGACCCAACATGTCCGTGCGCAAGTCGCCCGGACCACCGATGGACCAGACGCCGCCGACAAAAGAAGTCGACTGAGGTGCCGTCGAARAGCGGGTTCTTCCCGATGGGGGAGCTCCGAGGATCCTACCGGAGGTTCCTTGGGGAAAATTGAAAATTGCCTGTGCCCCGAGGAATCCCCGAGGAATCCCCGAGGAAATGTTTTCACTTTTTTTTTTGTTTTCTTTCCCCGAGGACAAGTGGAACGACGATTTCCTTGGGGGATTTCGGCGCCCGAGGAGTGTCGAACGAGCCCCTATAACTCGTTTTTTTGACTCCCACCTAGTTTCCCCATTCAAAGGGTAACTTTTCCTGCCAACTACCAATGGGCCTAGCTCAGTTGGTATACCCCCAAACTGTTGACATACAGATCCAAGTTCAAATCCAGATACAATCAGATGACCAGAATAAAAGCATCCTGAATTACCCGGGGCTGGTCAGCTCAATGATGATATCTCAAGGCCCTCACCCTTTCAAAAAAAAAAAAAAAAAAAAAACAACAACAACTTTTTCCGCCAACTGGGTGTAGCTCAGTTGGTAAGGCGTTCAAACGGCACTCAGGAGGTCGTGGGTTCAACTCCCATTGCCCCCACGATAGTGCCTGTGGCATGCTTGGCGTCTTACCTTCGAGACAACCAGTTGGCAAAAGCAAGTGCGTGGTAGCTCAGTTGCCAATTGCCAGAGCTCTGGTGTTGCAACGGGGAGGTTGCGGGTTCGGCTTTGACAGCCCGCAACAAGTGGTTGGTGTAGATTGCACACTGCGTACTTGCCCCGAGCCTGGCATAGCACCTTTACAGACTAATAACCGCAATAGCTCAGTGGGTAGAGCTCTGATATCACAACTTGGAGGTCCCGGGTTCAACTCCAATACACATAAGACATAACTCATAGCTCGTAATTGACTGAGGGGTTGCAGAGGGGGATAGGCTGGAGGTTTTCCCTGGCAGGAATCAGCCCTGTGGCGCCCAGGAAGGTGCATGAAGCCAATGGGGAGACACAGCGATTGGCCCATTGAAAGAAGCTCGGTCCTGATGCCACCGGCTGACTGCTGGGCGGCCCGTATCGCCCACCTGCTGTAGCAGGTATCGCACCTGCTGGTGGATGCAGCTACCGCATGTTCCCTCGTTGGAGGCTGGAGCACAGATGTGGCTGCTACGGGGTTCCCCGTAATACTATAATGACAATAAAAAAGGCCTCAAAGGCCGTCCTGTCCAGATTTGACAGGTAATTGAATTGGTTGGGCTTCAAAGAATTAGCCTTAAACGGTTTAAAGGGGGGTGCCTTAGAGTGATTCGGTTATTAAAAAAAAGCCTTTCTGGAAAAGAAAAAAAAAATGGTCTCATTTGAGCCATTGGAATTTCCTCTTATGAGATTTCTCAAGATTTGTAAATTTTTTAATGTTGGCAAAATTTCATGAAAGTGCACTTTTGCCTGCCTTGCTGTTTTTTTTGGGGGGGAAGTATGTTTATGTCACATGGGAGTTTGTAATGGGCACAAAAAACAGCCTTCGGCGTCTGTGTCAGGGCCTGAGTTCGAAAAGGCGTTCGTAACTCAAGGCCGGCAGTGGTGTCAGGGCGGAGTTCGAAAAGGCGGCTGTGGTTTTTTTTGTTTTTTGTTTTTTCCTTCCTCGCTCTTCGGTCGCACTGTGTCGCGGCTGCACGGAGTGTTTGTTTGTTTGTTTGTTTGTTTTTTTTTTTTTTTTTTTTTTTTTTTTTTTTTTTTTTTTTTTTTTTTTTTTTTT